GGCGTTTATTGAGAAGGCCAGCCAAACCAAGAAGACGGGGTGCTTACAAGCATCAAATCCTGTCTTACAGCAAGGCGCAGGGGACAGGATTATAAAGGGGAAGGGGCTCAGGTGAGGCTGGGAGCGGAACGCAGCTACGTGCAGTCTTGGAGGTCCGCAGATGTAAGCTAGTGTCTTTAGTCACCAGGCGATGCGATAATGTTGATGAGATGATGTTTTGACTCCTGGTGGGTTGGTCTGACCATGTTTATTGGTTCTGCTTGCTGGATTCACAGCTGAGTCACCTCCTCAATCGCTTCGCACAGGCCTTGAAAAGAAAACTTAAGAAAAACTTGACCCCCTCTTCACATAAGTATATGTGTTCTAAGATTTAAAGTAATATGACTATTTTTCAGATTAATTCAGATGCTCCATCTATCAGAGTATACGTTCCCCTATCAGGACCTCCCAGCCAGACATCCCTCATGCTTTTTTAAAAATATATATTTTATTGATTTCAGAGAGGAAGGGAGAGAGAGAGAAAAAAATCAATGATGAGAAATAATTATTGATACGCTGCCTCCTGCACGCCCCCTAGTGGGGATCGAGCCCACAACCTAGGTATGTGGCCTTGACTGGAATCCAACCCGGGACCCTTCAGTCCACAGGCTGATGCTCTATCCACTGAGCCAAACCAGCTCGGGCTCCCTCCTGCTTTTCATCTGCTACATGTGGATGTGGGACCAGCCCACATCTCTGTTCTGCATCACATCTCTGTCCCTCCTACCAGTCTTGAGGTGGGTTCTTCTATATATCCTTAGTTTTAGGGCTTCCATTCAGCTAGATTTCAGGTGGTTCTGAATGATAGTTGTTCTGTAGGTTAGTTGTAATTTAAAAATATATAAATATTTTTATCCATTTCAGGGAGGAAGGGAGAGGGAGAGAGAGATAGAAGCATCAATGATGAGAGAGAATCATTGATCGGCTGCCCCCTGCATGCCCCATACTGGGGATTGAGCCCACAATCAGGCATGTGCCCTGACTGGGAATTGAACTGTGACCTCCTGGCTGATAGGTCGACGCTCTACCACTGAGCCACACTGGCCGGGCTGGTTGTGATTTTGATGTGGTGGTGGGACAATCCGGGGACCACATTTACCTACACTGCCATTTTGACTGGATGGGCCACATCAATTTCTATCTCTCCTCCACCCATCCCAGGCCTTACAAAGAGCCAAACCTCTCTATTTGTTTCTTCCAACTAGATTGTGAGCTCCCTGATGGTGGGGATCTCCATCTTGCTATCTTTTCTTTATCTAATACAGGAACACGTAGTAGGTCCTCAACAATACCTGTTTTACTCTGGTATTTTGTTCAGAAGTCTCAGACATACCTTATTAAGACTAAGCCTGCCTTGTAGGATGAATTCTGTCCTGGGATAATTTATGTAACTTCATGGAAAGCGTGAGGGGAGGGGATCCTGTTGTTAATCCATGGGGGTCGGGCGCCGTTTAGGAGAGCTCTTCTTTGGCATATTTTATAAAAGGCCTTCGTGGCTTTTGAAACTTATTTTCATTTCTTCTTGCTTCAGCCTTCCTTTCTGTTTAGGAGAACTGGTCTTATGAAAGCTTTCAAACATTTCTTCCATTCCATAGAAGTCCCTTGATCATTAACAATAATCTTTCTGCCCTAACCGGTTTGGCTCAGTGAATAGAGCGTCGGCCTTCGGACTCAAGGGTCCCGGCTTCAATTCCGGCCAAGGGCATGTACCTTGGTTGCGGGCACATCCCCAGTCGGAGGTGTGCAAGAGGCAGCTGGTCGATGTTTCTCTCTCATCGATGTTTCTAACGCTCTACCCCTCTCCCTTCCTCTCTGTAAAAAATCAATAAAATATATTTAAAAATAATCTTTCTTTTCTCTTTCTTTGCAAATTGTAAGAGGACGTTTATTTAGGAAGTTACTGAGGTAGGAGAAGTGAGCCAGCTGGGCTGCTGCGGGGGGAGAGGAGGGCGGGGGGGAGTTATAGGAGCAAAAGAGGGGCCCTTGGGGCTTAGGAGAGAGAGAGGCAGAGGGAACTGCCTGGGGGAGGGGACAGGCGCTGCTCCCCAGGGGGAAGCACCCAAAATCATCTTTCTTATTGTTGCTTTTTTGGTAACTTCTCCTTTTTTGTTCTTAAGTTTGTTCTTTTGTTTGTACTTATTTATTTATTTTCCCAGGAATGTATTGATTTCTAAAGAACCAGGTCTTAATGGTTTTTCTAAGAATTAGTTTCAGATTTGTTGCTCAATCCTAGTCTTGGTAGTTTGTGACTTTCTTCTCGATTTCCTATCTGTTATTTACTTCCTCCAAAAAATTCTGTAGTTCTCTTTTGCAAATCTTAAGCAGAGTGTTTAGTCAATTTCTTTTTTTTTAAAATATATTTTTATTGACTTCAGAGAGGACGGAAGAGGGAGAGAGAGATAGAAACATGCGTGATGAGAGAGAATCATGGATCTCATTGATCGGCTGCCTCCTGCACACCCCACACTGGGGAGGGAGCCCACAACCCGGGCATGTGGCCTTGACCGGAATCGAACCTGGGGCCTTTCAGTTCACAGGCCGACGCTCTATCCACTGAGCCAAACCGGCTAGGGCTAGTCAATTTCTTTTCCTTCTTTGGAAATGATGTGCATATGGACCTCTCTATATTCATACTATTCCCCAAAGGTTTAGACAATTCAGTTTTTGATCATTACGTCTGTCAAAGATTCAGAAAAAAGCAGAAGTGAAACCAATGACCCGCAGAAGTAGTAACTAATAAACGCGTATCGTACACACATCAGAAGACAAGTTTGCAAGGGAGCACTCACACCAAAACACGGAAGGGGGCTTAGATACTCGTAACTATTGTTATAAAGCAGCTTCTATAGTGAAAAGCAACGACTATTCATTTTCCACAGTGATTGGTTATAATATTAGAATTGTCTTAAATAATAGGGAATTGGTCAGTGGTTACCTCATACTTCCCTTGGGAAATAGTTCAAGTTTTGCTCACGATTTCCGGATGCATCAGCGAGAAGTGATTCAGGTCGTGTTGGTCTTGCAAAATAAGCTCAGCACAGCTTTGTTTGTATGACAAAACCGGTTGTTTCTGCTCAGGAAATATTCAACCTTGGTCTCTGCTTGCTTGTTTGTTTTAATCCTCACCCAGGGATACGTGCATTCTTTTCATTGATTTTTTTAAAAATACGCTTTTATTGACTTCACCTAGACCGAACCTGGCTGGAGAACCTAGCGAGAGAACATGGACACAGAACTTGGCTGGAGATCCTGGCTAGAGAACCCAACTATGCTGATCAACTGAACGCTGTCTCCGAGTCATTCCTTCTTCACCAACTCCGTCCACACCTTTGGGGACCCCTGGACCTGCTGGGGTTGGACCCCGGCACTTTTCCTCATCTTGGTCCCCTACAGTCTGTTCCCCACACAGGAGCCAGAGGGTTCTGATAAAATCTAAGTCAGAGCACATCTCATGTTCCTTCTCTGCCCCTATTTCTCCCGGGACTTTCACCTCACACGTATTGGAAGCCAAATGTGTGTGATCTACCCTCCTCCTCGCCCCACCTCATTCCCTACTCTCCCCCCACCTTCACTCTGGCCGCACAGGCCGGCTTGCTGGTCTTTGAGCCCAACACAGCTGTTGCCAATTCAGTTTTGGCATTTGCTGTTTTCTCTACCTAGAATGCTCTCCCACCTCACCTTTTCTGCTCTTGCTACTTTTTAGATATCTCTGACCGTGACACTGAGAATAGCATCTCCTCACCCCTTTCCTGCTTTGTTTTGCTCCCTATAGAACAGCGGTTCTCAACCTGTGGGTCACGGCCCTTTCGGGGTCGAACGACCCTTTCACAGGGGTCGCCTAAGACCATCAGAAAACACATAGATAATTACATATTGTTTTTGTGATTAATTCTATGCTTTAATTATGTTCAATTTGTAACAATGAAAATACATCCTGCAGATCAGATATTTACATTACGATTCATAACAGTAGCAACATTACAGTGATGAAGTAGCAACGAAGATAATTTTCTGGTTGGGGGTCACCACCACATGAGGAACTGTATGAAAGGGTCACGGCATGAGGAAGGTTGAGAACCACTGCTATAGAAGTTAGCACTGCCTGACGGTCTATTTACCTTGATCTCTCTCTGTCTCCCCCAGGTTCCTTCACCAGGGCATCCTCAGCGCCTAGATCTGACTCCAGAACGGCACTATCACCCTATAACAAAAATCTAACATTTAGCGAGCACCTACATGTATGGTAGTGAAAAAGTGTATACTCTTCCATTTACAGTGTGTGGCAAAAGTAGGCTTACAGTTGTGAGTATGCAAAACAGAGTTTATTCTTGTATTATTGTCTATTAATTATGATATTTTTTCCTGTACAAATAACTGTAAACCTACTTTTGTCCCTCTCTGTGTTTTCCCCAACAATCTTGAAAAGTAGGTGATTATCCTCGTGTTGTAAATAGGGAAACTGAGGCTCTGTCTGGCAGTGGCCGGCACGGGTAGGATTAAAGAGGAGTCATTTTTCTGATCTCGTTGACTTATTCGTTCAACCAACACCAACCAGCTAATCCCTGTGGTGGACGCTGGAAAACATAGGACCCTTCCCAAGGCAGAAATGGCCCCGGCCTTCAGGGAGCTGGGGAGCTGAGTTGGACTATTAGTGAATTGACAGGGTGAATTATACATAATAGAATTATGCATTAGTAATTATTAGTTATAATGAGTAAATCTCGGGGTGTTTTAATTCTGTCGGGAGTCCGGCTACCTCCCTCGATGGGTTGAAATCCCAGCCTCCCAGCGATCCAGGAGGCGGGTCTCTGAGCGAGTCTCCACTGCAGTGCTTCCACTGGCGCCTAGAGGGCGCAGCGCCGCCCGCTCGAAGCGAGGCGGGGCGGGAGCCCGCGGAGGCGCAGGCGCAGGTCCAGAGAGGGGTGGCGTGCGCAGGCGCAGGTGCAGGCGCAGGCGCAGAGGGGGGTTGGCGTGCGCAGGCGCAGGACCAGTTTCGGACGCGTGAGGGGCGCTGAGACCGGAAGTTCACATTTTCGCGGCGGTGGTTGAGGTGAGGGAGGCGGGGCGGCGGCGCCGGGTCGTGGGGAATTTGGGAGCCGGGAACTGAGGGGTCGGGGAGGTCCCGACATGAGGAAATGTCATGGAGGAGGCCGCGGGCCCGGGAGAAGCGGATGGAGATGGAGCCTGAGCGTCCCCGAGAGAACCTGGGGGACGGAAAGAAATGGAGGCACGAAAAGCTGGGAGAGACCGAGAGGCGGGGAGGTGGAGGGAGGAGGGAAGCTGAAAACGAGAGAGACCGAGGGCAGGAGCTGAGGGGCCCCGCCGAGGGGCTCACGGAGGCTCGGAGGGAAATGGCATCGCACCGGGAACCGGGAGGTGGCGGGAAAGGCCGAGGTGGAAACCAGCGAACGGAAATAGCCCGGAGAGGAGGACAGTTGAAATGGAGGGACGAGGGACTGAGTCGTGGAGAGAGGCGTGTGGGTATAGGAAGACGGGGACGGTGAGATGGGGGGACCCGACATGAGCGGGATTGAGGGAGAGGAAGCAAGAGATCAGGATGGAGCGAGACGGTGGGAGACGGAGGCAGCACACGGAGGATCCTGGGTTCGGGGAAACGAGAGATGCAGAGACGGTGCCGCTGGGGAGATGGAGAGCAAATAGAACTGAGAAGGCAGCCTGCATTTTACAAAAGGCCAAGAAATAAAGCCTGGCCCTGGCCGGTGTGGCTCAGTTGATAGAGCGTCGGCCTGCCAACTGAAGGGTCCCGGGTTCCGTTCAGGTCAAGGGCACGTGCCTGGGTTGCAGGCTCATCCCCAGTAGGGGGCGAGCAGGAGGCGGCTGATCGATGTTTCTCTCTCATCGATGTTTCTAACTCACTATCCCTCTCCCTTCCACTCTGTAAAAACCAATAAAATGTATGTTTGAAAAAATTTTAAAAAGACTGTTTCTAAGTTTCTAACTCTCTCCCTTCCTCTCTGTAAAAAAAATCAAGAAAAAAAAAATAAAAAAATATTTTTTTAAAAAGAAAGTCAGCGGAGAATCACGTTGAGAAAGAGGCGTGATGGGAGCCGGAATCCCTAGATTTGGGTTTCTCATCCGCCACTTATGCTCATTCTCTCTGCGGTTCAGTAAAATAGTGATCATTGCACCCACCGGGATCGAGTTTTCTGTGCTCTGTTCCACGGCGGCCCCTGCGAGGCTGGAGGCAGAGGAGGTGAAAGCATCGCTAAATACCATTATGAAGGCGCGTTGGGGTCTGTGGAGCGTGATTTTTTACCAGGTTAATGCCCCCGGTTCTTCTCCCTGTTTTCTGTACGTTAGTCATTTTTTTGGAAAAAGCACTGGACTTGAATGCTGGTTACGATTTAGCGTCTCTGGCCCGGGCCAGGGGCTAAAACACATTGCTGTGGCTTGAGAAAGCTATTATGCCCGTTTTGTAGACGCAGAAAACACCCGTGAGAAGTTGATTTGCCGAGGATCACACACCTTGTACATGATGAAGCTGAGATTCAAACCCGGATCCGCCTGACTCCAAAGCTTTTATTGTCAACGGCTCCGAACCCTTTTATGGTCATAAACCCCTTTGAGAATGAGTGATGGCTTTCCCTCCTGTAAGTCGCACACACAAGGGTATGTTCTTTATGAGTTAGGGCTTTTGTGCCGAGTCTGAAACCCAACTGTAAGCAAAAAGTGTGTGTTTTTTTTAAATCTTTATTGTCGAAAGTATTACATATGCCCCCTTCCTACCCTCCCCCTTACCCCCATTGGCCTGTTCTAGCCCAGCCCCACCGCCCTGAAGACTTCCTTGCGTCGCTCCAGAGTGAGGGTTGGAGGAAACAGCCTCAAGCTAAATGATGGTGCCAGGCTTCTCCCAGCTCCTTTCACTTCTCCTGTGGTAGCTGCACTGTATGCCTGTGGGTGCCTCATTACGCCCCCATGCAGGCTCTTCTAGGGTAAATATCCAGGAAAGACGGATGTTCAAGAGCGATTACAAACTTCCCTGTTTATATCATCCTTGCCAAGCCACAGTAGATAAAATGGCCAGCTCTTCACCCTGGCCAGTGTGGCTATATAGTTAGAGCGTCGGCCCGCACATGGAAGTGTCCTGAGTCTGATTCCTGGTCAAGGGCATGCACCTGGGTTGCAGGTTCGATCCTGGCCCCAGTTGGAGCACAAGCAGGAAGCAACCGATGGATATGTTTTTCTCACATCAATGTTTCTCTCTCCCCCTCCCTCCTCTCTTCCACTCTCTCTAAAAAATCAATGGGAAAAATATCCTCCAGTGAGGATTAACAAAACAACAAAAAAAGAGATCTTTTCTTTCCTAGTAACGGAGCATAAATTCCAGAGAAAGGCTCTGATTGGCCCTCCTGGGGTCATGTATCCACCTCTCAAACCTATCACTAGTCAAAGGGGTGGAGGGTATCGTGATTGGCCAGGCCTTTGTCAATTGCCCAACCCTTACGAGTTCTCTGACTTAAAGGCCATCGGAACTGTGTGGAACCCAGGAAGGGCAAGCCTAAGCGACTGTTACAACCAAACGAGTGGAACCACCAGTCACTGTGATGTGCACTGACCACCAGGGGGCAGACGCTCAATGGAGGAGCTGCTGCCTGGTGGTCAGTGCGCTCCGGAGCATCGCTCAGCCAGAAGCTGGGCTAACGGCAGGAGCCTCTCCCGACTCTGCTGCAGTGCCACCAAGCGGCTGTGCCAGGTGATGAGCGCAAGCAGTGTGGCGCCCGGCCCCAGCTCAGGCTCCTTCCCGGCTGCCTGCCGCTCGGCACACTGCTACCTACCCCGAGAGGTCCCAGGCTGTCAGAGGGTGCAGGCCAGGCTGAGGGCATCCCCCTCCCTCCCTGCACCAGGCCTCTAGTACATAGATAAAACAACAGTTGCAAAATTGTGCACTTAATTCAAAGGGCTCCCGGGTGTCAAGCTCAGTAGACCGAGGGTTAGGGACCCTTGCTTTCGTCTTCCCTGTCCCACACCTCTCACGGCTTCATCACAACCCCTGGATGGTGATACATCACTGGGTTGTCAGAGTTTGGTGACACGCCTGTCTCTTGGATGTGATCGTGTGGGGCTCAGGGTGGTCTTACTCATTACCGTCCCTTTTGCTGGGCCAGTGCTTGCACCCAGCAGGCCTTCAGTAAACGTTTCTAAAAACGAACATCTTCTGTTCTCTTCCCCCAAACATTCAGGGCCTAACACCCAGGGTGAACCTGTGTCCATCCCAGAGATTGCCGCAGAGTCCTGAGGTGCCCTGTGCGTCACCAGCTTGACCCCCTTCGGCCGCTCACCCTGCCATCGCCTGCAGCGGGCCTGGACCGTCCCCGAGGAGGAAAATTAGCTCTTTGAAGAGAAAGTGGTTCCTTACTGCAGGCCCTGGCCTCTGCAGGAGTCGGGGATGGAGGAGAATGTCTGGTCCAGGTGATCAGAACTGAGCCAGTTTTGTGACGGCCTTGTGGTTAGGTCCAGCATGCCTCCTCCCAGAACAAGGGAGGACAGGGACCACCGGGACCGGCACCGGGCTCCCCGTGAGGAGGAGGCTCCAGAGAAATGGGACTGGAATTGTCCAGAGACCCGGCATCTGTTCGAGGACGCCTTCTTCCGCGACGAGGACTATATCCGCCAGGGCTCCGAGGAGTGCCAGAAGTTCTGGACCTTCTTTGAACGCTTACAGAGGTTCCAGCACCTCAAGGCCCCCCGGAAGGAGGACAGGGAACCCGGGCATCCCAAGCACAGCAACCCGGCGCTGGCCGACCTGCCTGGTGCTTACGACCCGCGCTACCGCATCAACCTCTCGGTCCTTGGCCCTGACCTGCGGGGCTCTCGGAGGCGGGGCAGGCACCTGCCCCCGGAGAGAGTGTCCGAGTTCCGCCAAGCCCTGGTGCACTACCTGGACTTTGTCCAGAAGCAGGCGTTCGGGAGGCTGGCCAAACTGCAGCGGGAGCGGGCGGCGCTGCCCATCGCCCAGTACGGGCACCGCATCCTGGAGACGCTGAAGGAGCATCAGGTGGTGGTGGTGGCCGGTGACACCGGCTGTGGCAAGTCCACGCAGGTGCCCCAGTACCTGCTGGCCGCCGGCTTCAGCCACGTGGCCTGCACCCAGCCCCGGAGGATCGCCTGCATCTCGCTGGCGAAGCGCGTCGGCTTTGAGAGCCTCAGTCAGTATGGCTCCCAGGTGAGTGGGCGCTCACGGGACCCCACTTCCTCCCATGTGACATCGGGGAATGTGGGCCGTGTCGATTAAGGTTACAGAAGCTCTTACCCTTTGACCTAGCAGTGATTCTTCTAGAAATTTGTCTGCAGATTGGCCTGGATATGGTCCAGAGGATAAAGATGCTAACATTACCCAGCACAGGCAGACCTTGTTTTATTGCGCTGCACTTAGTGCTTCACAGATGTTGCTTTTTGTTGTTGTTGAATCCTCACATGATATTTTTTTCCATTGATTTTCAAAGAGCGTGGAAGGGAGAAGGGCGGGAGGAGAAACATTGATGAGAGAAAGACACATGGACTAGTTGCCTCCCGTACTTGCCCCGACCAGGAGGTGGGGAGGGAACCTGCAACCGAGCTACGTGCCCTTGACTGGGAATCGAACCTGAGACCCTTTGGTGCTTGGGCCAGCACTCTAACCACTGAGCAACACAGGTCAGGGTAGATGTGACATTTTTGACAAATTGAAGGCAAGTCCCTCCACCAGCAAAAAGATTACAGTTCGCGTTATTGCAGTTCTCACTTCATTGTGGTGGCCCAGAACGGAACCGCCAATGTCTCGGAGGTGTGCCTCTATAGCACTTTAACAGTAAAAAAATTAGAAATGTTCTCAAGATTCATCGATCTTTTTTCTAAGTAGCCATAAAAAAAACAGTGAGGACACTTCCTTACTAATGATTTCCAGGGTTCTAATCCTGGCCCTACCACTTAAAATTGGTAGTTGTTGAAGTTAGAATGTACTCAATCCAGTAGAGTGCGTGTATCATGTGAATTTTCACAAGCTGAATATATTTGTGTGACTAGCACCCAGATTTTTAAAAATCAAACCAGCACCCCAGAAACCCTCTTGTTTCCCCTTCTTGTTACTACCTTGAGGCGCCCAAGGTCCTCTCTGTTCTTAGTGATAAATGATCATCTTAGTGCCAGGCCATCACACCTGAGTTAATGATAGATGGTCACAGATTATCTGCCTCTTTACCTTTTTTAGGGAATAACCAAGTATGCTCTCTTTGGGTCCTGGCCGGTGTTGCTCAGTATTAGTTCTGGAAGGTTCACCCTTGGTTTTGCATGTAGGTGCGTGCTGCGCAGTCAGCGCTGTACCGTCTCCCGTTGTGAAAGCTTCGTGTGTATTTGTTCCTTCCGCTGTCGAGGGGAATTTGGAGGGTGTCCAGTTTTAGGCTCTTGTGAATGGTGCTGCTTGAAGCATTTTATAACGTGCCTTTTGGTCACTCTTGGTGACTATTTTGGGGGTATATATGTAGAAGTGGGGCATTGTTAGCTTTCGCAGGATACTGCCAAACCGTTTTGTAACGCTGTCGAACCAGTTTACAATCCTACCAGCAGTACATTCCACATCGTCACCAGCACTTGCTACAGTAAACTTTTCATTTTAGCTTTTCTGGTGGCTGTGTAAGTGGTATCACATTTTACTTTTATTAAAAAAAAAGTTTTTTTAAGCATATTTTTATTGGTCCCAGAGAGAAGGGAGAGGGAGAGATAATAACATCAATGATGAGAGAGAATCATTGGTCGGCTGCCTTCTGCATACCCCACACTGGGGATCGAGCCCACAGCCCAGGCATGTGCCCTTGACCAGAATCGAACCGGGACCCTTCAGTCCGCAGGCCGATGCTCTATCCACTGAGCCAAACTTGGCGAGGGCTGGTATCACATTTTAATTTGCATTTCCCTGATGACCAAGGACATGAGCACCTTTTCATGTATTTATTTGGCCATTTGGAGAGCCTGTTTTGTGAAGTGTCTGTTCAAGCCTTTCTCCCATTTGTCTTCTGTGTTGCCTGTCTTTTTGTTCTTGATTGCTAGGTCTTTATCAGTTCTGGATAAGAGTCCGTGGTAGGGTTTATGTGTTGCAAATCTTGTCTCCTACTTTGTGAGTTGCCTTTTATTTTCTGAATGGTGTCCTTTGATGAGTGTCTTTTCATTTAAATATAATCGAGTCTGTCATTTTCTTTTTGTGGCTGGCACTCTCTGGGCTCTGTTTAAGAGATTTTTGCCTACTTTAAGGACATGAAGATATTCTGTTTTTTCTAATAACTTTTACATTTAGAAATATAATTCACCTGAAACCGATTGTGTGTGTGTGTGTGTGTGTGTGTGTGTGTGTGATGTGAGGTACCCTTTAGGCTGTGTTGCCTTGGGTGAGTGACCTCAGTTTCCCCATCTGTGAAGTGAGGATAAGAAGAATTCTTACACCCTGTGGTGGTCGTGAGAATGAAATGAGTCGATCGGCATAAAGCATTTATAGTAGTTGGTGGCACATAGTAAGGACTTGAAGAAAGGCTGATTATTGGTATTATAGTAATTAGTGTCATAGCCCGGGGTCTTAGATGTTTCAGTGCATTAGCACATGTAATTCTCACAGGAGGAGGGGGGGAGGAGAAAGGGGTCCTAATATTTGGTGACAGGAGAAGATTTGACTTTGGAGGTGGGCACATGGTGCAATACACAGGTCTTGTAAGATAGAAACCCACACCTGAGACCTATATGTTCATGTTGACCAGTGTCACCCCAATAAATTGAATTTAAAAAAAATTCTCACAGGAGAACACATAAGTGTCTGAGGGACAGAACTGCTTGCCCAGAGTCAATGACCCCAAGTGGCAGAGGTGGGATTCACACCCAAGTCTGTTGGACTCCAGAGTCCAACGCGAGGGCACTTGCTCAGATTTCACTTGGGGCGGGGTGAGGGGCTGGAGCCCAGGCCCAGGGTCCCCTCCCGACCACCCTCCTCCGCCCACCCCAGGTTGGCTACCAGATCCGCTTTGAGAGCACGCGTTCGGCGGCGACCAAGATTGTGTTCCTGACTGTGGGGCTGCTCCTGCGGCAAATCCAGCGGGAGCCCAGCCTGCCCCAGTACCAGGTCCTGATCGTGGATGAAGTCCATGAACGCCACCTCCACAACGACTTCCTCCTGGGCGTCCTCCGGCGCCTGCTGCCCAAGCGGCCTGACCTCAAGGTCATCCTCATGTCAGCCACCATCAACATCTCGCTCTTCTCCAGCTACTTCGGAAGCGCCCCTGTGGTGCAGGTGCCCGGCAGGCTCTTTCCCATCACGGTCAGTGCTCCCCCTGCCCCGACACCCTCCTCCCTCCCACCCGGTCTCTGGCCCAACCTGGACCTGTCCCTTCTCTGTCTGCTGCTCTGCGTCCCTTCCCTTCAGTTAAGGATATTGTCTCTCTTTTCTCTCTCTCTCTCTCTCTCCAAGGATATTTTCTCTTTTCTCTCTCTCTCTCTCTCTCCCTCTCTCTCTTTCTCTATCTCTGTCTCTTTTAAAGCTGCCACATCTGAGCATTTTCATGTGCTGGGAAGAGTGCTAAGTGCTTATTAGAGGACACCCAAAAAAATAAAGGTCAAATGACATAGAAGTTGATTTTTTTTATATAACAGTCTGGCTGGTCCAGGCTGATGGGCAGCTCAGTTCCATGTGGTCATCCAGGGACCCAGGCTCTCTTTCTCATTGCTCTGCCGTCTCATGGGCGGGTTTCTCAGACCCCAGAGTGACCTTT